GTGGCCCTTCTGCAGGGTGCAGGTGGAGACCACACGGCCCGACGGGGAAGGGGTCTGGGTCCGCTCGAGGGAACACTGCGGTGCCAGGCAGGGGCTGCTGCCCAACGCGCACAGGGCACCGGGGGAAAGCCTGCCCAGCTGGGAGCGCTGGGCCCCGAGACACACCCAACAACTCGCTGTCTAGTACTTGGGGCGCTTTTGTGAGTAGCGCAGACGAGAGATACAGACGTCACCGGCCACCCGCACTGCCGCACTAACAAGGGGACTTGGAGCAGGGAGGGATCCAGAAGCGATCCATCTCGGCCACCTCCAGCTTTGGCCCAGTCCCTGCCGTGACCAGGCTACAAGGGGATGGTCCGTGCTGGCACCAGGGGGCCCTCGGGGCCTCTCTTCCTGCCCCATGGCATACGCTCGGGGCCCCGCACCTTCTGTGTCCCATGACGATCATGCGCAGCTTGTCCCCGAGGTCCTGCATCTCGTGAATCTGGACAAACGTCCCCGTGTGGTAGACCTCATCCAGGCTCTCGACCACGTCAGACTCATTGCTGAGGGACAGGGACACAAAGGAACATTGGCACGGGCCCTCTGATATGCAGCGGGCCTTCTCAGACTAAGAGGGAGAGGAAGAGAGAAAAGAAACACCCCTGCCAGCCTCGGCTGCACACCGACAGCAAACTCCTCACTCCCACAGGGGCTCAGGGCCCAGCAGAGCCCCTGCCCGCCGTGCACAGGGGAGCAGCTCCTGGCCACGTCGGCTGTAAGGGCAGGCCCGGGCCAAACGGACTCCGTTCCACACCTCCCACTACTGAGCCTGCTTAGAATGTACTTTCTCAGGGCACCTGGGTGGCTCCGTCGGTTAAGTGTCTGACTTTGGCTCAGGTCATGATCACACGGTTCATGGGTTCGAGCCCTGCGTCTGGCTCTGTGCTGACAGCTCGGAGCCTGGAGCCTGCTTTGGATTCTGTGTCTCCCTCTCTGCCCCTCCCCTACTTGCATTCTGCCTCTCTCTCAAAAACAAACATTTGAGGGGGTAAAAAAAAAGCATGTACCTTCTAACTCAGAAGTGGAACAGATTCCCACCTAGAGTCAAGCTGTCTGCCGAACTAGCCCTGCACTGAAGCAGCCTCACAGGGGTTTTTCACACCTCAGGTCCTGTAGGTTAAAATACATTCCCCCCACCCCAACCTCACATCTTGACCACGCATGAGGCCAAGAGCTGAGCCAAGTTCTTCAACCTAGACTAAAAAGTATGCTTGGCTCTCGGCCTTACACTCGGTAGGTTTTGCTCGGCGCCTTTCAGGTCAGAGATCGAGATCCAGGCTGCTCCATGGAGCAGGGTCTGTGGTGAGCTACACAGCAGGGCAACTTGAACGAGGGAGCGAAGGAAAAGTTACACTTACTTGTCATCTCTCTTTAGAAAGACGCCGGCATACGGCTGGGCAAGACGGACCTTCCTTCTTAGCAGCTCAACCAACTTCTTATTTTTAACCTAGCATGACAATGACCCCAGAGTGAAATGCAGGTTTCCTAGCTGACATTTTGACAGCAGCTCCCGTGTCTTCTCTGTCATTCTTGGGGCTCTGCCAGTCGGATCCGGGACACGAGACAGGCTGGGAAGTCCTGAACCAAAACCGAACATTCGTGCACGCAAAGGTGTAGAGAATGTCGTGGGACAGAGTGAAAGGGCTGTATTCCTGAGCGGCTTCCCCTGCTTCCTAAAGAAAACTCATAGTAGACCAATGGCCAGAACCAAGGAGTTGATTTAACACCCCATTTCGAGAGTTGTTCAGTGGTGAAATGCCTTGGCTTGAAATCTAGACTCTTCTGGGGCACCAGGGTGGCTTAGTCGGTTGAGCGTCCGACTTTCGCTTAGGTCATGATCTCACGGTTCGTGGGTTCGAGCCCCGCGTCGGGCTCTGTGCTGACTGCCAGCTCAGAGCCTGGAGCCTGTTTCAGAGTCTGTGACTCCCTCTCTCTCTGACCCTCCCCTGCTCACGCTGTCTCTCTCTCTCTCTCCTAGAAATAAATAAAACATTAAAAAAAAAAAAAGAAATCTAGACTCTAGTGATTTTATCAGTGTCAAAATGCAACACTGAATGTGCATAACTCAGATGTGGCCCATCCCACGGGCCGGTAACTTCTTCCAATTTTCACTGAAAGTGTTTCCCAATCCCATCTGTACCCTTTTCAAGGACTGAAAGCCCCAGGATGACAACACATTATCTCGATGTCATTCCAATGGCAGGGAGAGCGCCAGTGTCTTTTAGGGAACATCTGACGGGGCAGGGAAACAGACAGCTGTAAGGCTCAACGGATGTCCCTCCAGCACGCGTTAAATCCCACACCAGGCTATGAGTGCCTACACTTCCGGGCCCTCAAACTTCAGCCTGCATTGGAATTACCTGGAGGACTTGTTAAGACAGACGGCTGAGTCCCAGCCCTGGAGTTTCCTGATAGAGGGGGCCTGGAGCATCTGCATTTCAAACGAGCTCTCAGGTGATGCTCACGTGGCTGGTCCGGGCACCACACTTTGAGAATCTGTGTTTCCACTCATCCCTTAACAGGGCCTCTCACGGCCCAGGAATTCCTGACCCTACAGATGCATCTTTCCCAGGGGAAAGGTCCGTGACAGCCATTAGGAGGGGTACACGACCCACCAAAAATTAAGAGCCACTGATCTATACTGAGGGGACACACTACTGGGGCAAATTAGCCACATACAGTGTCAACCACAAAACCAAGAGTAAACAGCTTTGCTAACCGGGTCCCACGGAAGTTTCCCCAGTTTGTTGTCTGCTAACAGCCGACCACTGCACGTCAGCCCCTGTCCCGTCACTGACCAGGTACCAGCGATAGAAATACAGGGCGTGCCATGTGCCAGTCTCTTGGAAGAATCCTATCTCTGGGCACTCGGGACAAGCGGCATCTGCCACTCTGCAGGGCTGAGGGGACCCTACGTGGCAGACCTCTCCTGGTCCCAGACGTCGGCTGGGGTCGAGGACAGGAAAAAGGCCCCCAGGGCAAACTTCTGAGAAGTCAGTAGAATACCATACAGGAGACAATACCAGCAGCCACTGACTGAGGCAGAAAGCTATACCCCTGACAAAGGTGAACCCTCCTCCACCACCAGCTCTAAGAACTGAGGTACAACTATGATGCCCATTTTGCAGATGAGAAAGTGGAGGCCCAGAGGAACAGCTTTCTGAAGGTGAAGGAGCTATGGGTGGTGGAACAAGGATATGAACCCATAGGCTCTGGGGTCTGCAAGTAACCACTACTCAAAACCAAAGGCGGCCCCTTGGGATGGCTGCTCGGACCCACACAATCAGCAGGTGGGAAGAGGAGGTGGAAGGGGTTCCTTCAGTCCTGAGATTTGTTTCGCAGAGACTAGAGTATGAGGGAAAGGCTGGAGGAGGAGCCCAGAAGCTGACTCATCACACGACCTTGCTGTGACAGTTAACAGATAACTTTTTTCCACCACGGACTCTAATTTCCAAGTCATTAGAAGGAGGGGGGGAGGGAGAGGGAGAGGGAGAGAGAGAGAGAGAGAGAGACCGCGCGAGCCAGAAGAAAGAAGGAATTGGGGGGCTTTGTACTCTAAAAGCTCAAGTTCCTTGCACTCATGTTGCTTTCTATTACATCACCCACCCAAGTCCATCCTCCCCACCCCCCATGGCTTTTAGTCTGAAATGATCTTGCTGTCTCTTCCATCAGAACACAAGTTCCTTAGCCACAGGGACTGCATTTGATTTGTTTGCTACTGTATCCTCAGTGCCTGCTACACAGCAGGAGCTCAAGAAGTGTTTAGGGAAGGAATGAATGCTGATCCCAAAGAGGCTCCTAACTAGACGGCAAACCGCGCGCGGCGAGTGTGGCAAATACATCTACCAAAACCCGCAGAGAAGTTAACTGGCCCGTAAGACCGTTCTGGTCCTTCCCCGCGTCGGATTTCTATGGCTGGGACTCTAACTGGGCAGTCCTAAACTCAATCTGTAAGGGAGGAAAATGGGGCTCCAGTTCACCAAACTAATGAGAAGACAAGGACTCGAATTCCAGCTTTGAAGCAGTTGCGAGGCATGAAAGTGCCAAAAGATCCCTCGGTCCAACCCGCTGCTTGGAGAGGTGGGGAAATGGAGGTCAGGACGGGGTCGCTCATTACCTCGATGATCTTGATGAAGCGCGGGAACACTGGGTTGCGGGTAACGGCTATGAGCGGCAGGTGCGGGAACACCTCCGGAATCGTCATGGGCGTCAGCGCCGTTATGATGGGGCCCTCCGCGCCCCCCGCGCTGCTCCCCGCGCCCGCGGCCCCATCCTCGGCGCCGCCCTCGGGGGCATCCTCGCCGCTGGAGAATGCGCCACCGCCGCCCCGGCTGTTCGCCTCCCAAAGTCCCCGCCACTGGCCCGTGGCCACAGGGCCTCGGCCCCACAGCGCCCAGGGAGGCGAGGCGTCGCAGGCCCGCCGGCCTCTGGGCAACCACACTCCGGCGGCAGTCGGAACCCGCCCCCCGGCGGCGGCCAACAGCGGCCGCCGCAGCGCCCAGCAGCGCGCAGCGCCCCACAGCCGCACGTAGCCTGTGCCCGCCGCCATGGCCCGGCCATCCTGGCGACGCACAGGACGTGCGTCATTTCCTCTCGCCCGGCTAGTGCGCACGTGAAGCCCAGCGCGTGCCGAGGCGCCCGCGGGGGGCGTGGCCCGGAACGGAAAGCAACGCGGGTGGGGTTTGCGGGGGGGGACGCTGCGCGCATGCTCACACCAGCCTGCCCACGGGCGGCTGCGTGCGCAAGCCGGGGCCCCGGTGCTGAGTTCAGGGAACAACGAACGCATGCTCCGACTGGAGAGAGCGTGAGCGTCCGGGGCTGGAGGGGGTGTGTTGAGGTGGGCTGGTCCGCCTTCCCTGGGAGACGAGGTGCGCCTGCGCCGGAGGCCATGTGCGCAGGCGCAGGCTCTAGTCTGCGCATGCCCAGACTGTGAGGCACCACCCAGCGGCGGTTGCGGTCCATTGGTGGCGGCGGTTCTTCCAACGAGATGCTGGTGTTGATGTTGGTGGCGGCGGCGACCTTGCGGCTCTGCTTGCTGGCCGGAGCTCAGCAGCTGTGCCGGTGGGGCTGCCCTCCCCGGGGAGGGGTGCTGCCCAAGGTCGGGGAGGGGGCCGGCTTGTCCTTGAGCGGAGGCGGGAGCGGTGGCGTCCCAGTTTGTAGTTCTAGGAATTGAACTTGGTGTTTCCCTTTCTTTCTCCTCAACTCCCGCCCTTCACCAAATCCCTCCGTTGCCGCCTCACAGCTTGGGGCCGGTTCGCTCCGCTTTGAGCCAAGTCCGCCGCCACCGCCCCAGGCGGTGCGCTTCTCCCGCTCGCCCGCTCTGGCCGCCGGAGGGATTATTTGTAAACGAGTCTGACCTCGTGTCCGGTGTCGTCTTCCCCCTGTCCCGGTTCTGTGGCACCCGGGGTAAAACCCAAGTTCCTTGCGCAGCCAGAGCCTTGCCGCATTATCTGGCCCAGGGTTTACTCAGCAGCGCTGCTGACATTTGGGGGCCGTCACATTGGAAGGTGTCGAGCAGCATCCCTGGCCCCCACCCACCGCCAGTAGCGCTTCCTTCTTCAGGCTTGACATCAACCAAAACGGTCTCCGGCCACTGCCAAGTGTCCCCTGCAAATTTGGGAACGACTGATCTGGCCCCTGCCCACCCCTGAAACAGCGCTCCAGTCAACCCCATCCCTCGAACAAGTCAAACTGTCCAGCCTTGGGGACAGGGGAGACGGCGTTTGCTACTCCCTCTGCCCGACACGCTTTGCTTTCAGGCCAGCCCACTTCGCTTCCATAACTGGTTCCTCATGATCCTGAGTTAAATAGCACATCCTGGTTTTTTTTATGTTTATTTTTGAGAGAGAGAGCGGGAGCAGGGGAGGTGCAGAAAGAGAAGGAAACAGAATCCCAAGCAGACTCCAGGCTCTGAGCTGTCAGCACAGAGCCCCATGCGGGGCTGGAAGTCAGGAACCGTGAGATCATGACCTGAGCCAAAAGGCGGAAGCTTAACCACTGAGCTACCCAGGCGCTCCTGACATCCTTTTTAAAGCGCCCCCTCCCCCATACCGGGCTTTTCCACCAATCACTAACTTCTGTTACTGTTTTGACCAATTTTTTGTCTCCTGTTTTCACTAGAATATTAGCTCCACGAGGGTATGGAGTATTTATCTCAGATAATACTTACTCAGAACATTTTTAGGTTTCAGTAAATATTAGTGACTACTGTTTGCCAGGGTGCAAGTCAGATAGATGCTAATGCCGAGTTCCTGCCCTCCCGCAAACCCTGCCTGAGTAAGCCGTTCAGGAGGGCCCTGTCCACCCGTGAAATTATAAACCTGAGCTTCTGGTGCATGGCCTAATTTGATCTTTACAACAAAGTTCGTGGAGCAGTGACTCCTTAACCTTCTAATAATGATTTTTTTTTAAGATTGTTTTAAAATGTTTATTTATTTTTGGGAGAGAGAGAAAGCAAGCACACGCAAGCAGGGGAGGGGCAGAGAGGAGGGAGACACAGAATCCAAAGCAGGCTCCAAGCTCTGAGCTGTCAGCACAGAGCCGGGTGCGGGGCTCGAACTCCCGAACCACGAGATCGTGACCTGAGCCAAAGTCTCGGAGGCACAACCAACTGAGCCACCCAGGCGCCCCAACCTCATTTTATAGATGTGAAAACAGACTCAGCAAAATTAAAGACACACTTACCTAAAGACACATAACAGCGAAAAGTAGGGGTCTCCAGCAAGTGTTACTGGTGGGATTCATCTCCCGAGTTTGAAAAAGATAGGTTATATCCAATTCTCCCATCTCCTCACACTGGTTCTCCAAGTGTGGTTCTGGACCAGCAGCAGCAGCATCGCCTGAGAATTTGCTAGAATTCCCTGCATCGACTGAGTCGGAGGCTCGGAGGTGGGGCCCAGCAACCTGTGGTTTATCAAGCCTCGGGGTGCTTCTGGTGCATTTCAAGATGCTGTACCAACATTCTCCAGCCACTAGCAACATCTCCCTGTCCCCTGGGAGAAAAGGGAAAAAGGAAAAAAAAGCCTTGGAATAGGAGTTCTTAATCTGGGGCCTGCAAATGAGCTTTTATGAGCTCTTGGGAGTTACATCTCCATTTTTGTGCGTACATATGTCTGTCTATGGGAGAGAAAGGCCCATGGTTGTACCAGATTTTCCAGGGGCTCCAGAGCATCAGGAATAGGTGCTTCAGTGTTAGCCCAGAGGTGCCTTGGTAGGAGTTGTGCCGAATAAAAATGACAGTGTCTCTTGTCACTTACCTCTAGTGTTCACACGGTGAGGACAGGAAAGGTGTTTCACGTCAGTCCGCAAATTCAAGGGGTATGTGGCTCCCTCCTTCACTCTCATTCTTCACTTTCAGAACTAACACTTCCTAGTATTTCTTGGGTGCCAGTGTTGTGGCATGCATGGGACGTCATCTAATCCCCACCATCGCGCTTTGAAGTAGGGATTCACCTTTCCCGTTTCACTAAAAATCTAGTTGAAAGACATCACATAGCATGAAGAAAGCCAGGAGGTAGGAGTGGGTTTAGAACTCAGATCACCTGAGATTTTATCTAGTGTTCATGTAATTTTAGCTCTGGAATAACAGGAAGCAGACCGTTATTTGGCTTAAATGACATGGTGCCAGAGGAAACTTTTCACCCCTGTTTTTCATCGTGTGCCTATGATGCACGAAGAAATAGTTCATCATGTTAAAGTGCATTTCCTCCTGACGTGGCATTATTTCAGAAGTGAGGTCTGCGTTTCTAAATCTCCAAGTGCCTGCTTTCTTTTTTCTTTTATTTTTTAAATTTTATTTCTGAGAGAGAGAGAGAGAGACAGTGTGAGCAGGGGAAGGTCAGAGAGAGAGGGAGATGCAGAATCCGAAGCAGGCTCCAGGCTCTGAGCTGTCAGCATAGAGCCCGACGCGGGGCTCAAACCCACAAACTATGAGATCACGACCTGAGCCAAAGTCGACGCTTAACCAGCTGAGCCACCCAGGCGCCCCCAATTGCCTGCTTTCTAACTTGTTAGCTTTACGGTGCCTTGTCCTCTGGCCTCTCTGTTAAATAACTGATAGCATGTAAGTAAACAGTAACCTATGTAAGAAATGAGATATGACACGGGTAGTTATCCTGGGAATCTTTTTTCACTTTATTTTTACATAATTATAGATTCACAGCAAGTTGCAAATACAGCACAGAGATGCCTCAGGTACCCTCCACCCAGCTCCCCCATTCCCCCCAGCCTGTGATATCTGACGTAACCATATCAAAACAGGAAAATTACATCGCTATTATCCACCTACCTCAATTTCACCTTTACACTGTCAATGTTTTTTATTAGGAGATTGCTTTCATCAGTGCGTATTACTATTGATCTTAAGACTTGTGTGACTATCTTTCTAGGACCATCTGTATTTTGCGTCTAGTTCAGCACGCTTGATTAAACATCCTTGCAAGAAAAACATAGCCCTGTACCTAGGGTAAGTGACCATTTTATGCCCTGCTACCTTGCTTTTTTATTAAAAATTATTAAGGTCAGATTCACCCTCAGTCATTCATTCAGCAAACGTTATGGAAGATGGCTCGGTCCTGTGTTGCTCGTTACTGGTCTGCAGGGAGTTGGGAGTTGGTGTGGGGGTCAAAGGAAGAGAGATGAAGAAGCCAGCAAATAACGAAAGTCACAGTACAGTGTGGTGTCTCCTGTCACCGGTCCTTGACGTGATTCGTCACCAGGGGCGCTGAGCGTGCAAAGCAATGGGAGCACGGTGTGCACGTGAGCTTGCCAGGGTGCAAGTTTAGACCAGTAGTGTATATCGTACCGACATGTTTGTTGATCAGCCTACAGGCAGTGGAGGATTTGGGGCTACACAGCTTGGGTTTAGGAGGATCTCAAAAGCCCAGGCCACAAAACGAAACAACAAGCTAAAGCCTAAACAGAAGGCAAAACCCAGAGAAGGAAGGGACTCAGGCCTTGTCGGTTCTAGGGTGTGGAGAACGGAGGCGACCAAGCAGTTTAAGGTGGCCCCCACATTTCTGGCGGGAGGAATTCGGGGACAGAGAGGCGGCAGCGTGGGGTGGCTTGAAGACACCTGAGGCCAGAGATGGGGACAGAAGGTCATCTCGGTGGCAGTGGTGGCTCTGGCTGTGGGCGGCCACCCGGGGAGGCCATGTTCAGCAGCCAGAGGTTTCGGTGAAACCGGCGTGGGAAGAGAGAGAGCCAGGGAGGAGAGGGAGGTCCCGGGGAGGGCAGGGCACGTGGGTGGGGAAGCAGCCACCACAGCAGCGGGGCAGAGGGGAGAGAAAGCAAGGACCCAGAGGCCCAAGCTTGCTGTCACCCTCTTCAGAAGCCAAGATGGACCTAAGAGGGAAGAAATGCCACTAGGGAGAGAGGGGGACTCGGTCGTGAAGGAGGCAGAATCTGGACATTACTGCTGATGGGAAGGCCTGGCCGAGGAGACGGTCCCGGAAGTGGGGGGCCGGATGGGGCCAGGCCTTGGGCAAAGTGAGGACTCAGTGACTCCTTCTGACAAGATGTGAATCCTGTCCTTCCTTTAAAGCTGATCTGCCACAGAGTAACCCCTAGCCTTGTGCTGTTTAAAGTTTCCATCAGCAGTAAATGGATAAACACAAGGTGGGACATCCACACGTTGGAATGTTATTCAGCTTTAAGAAGGAAGGACATTCTGGGGCACGTGGTGGCTCAGTGGGCTGAGCCACTGACTCCTGATTTCAGCTCGGACCATGATCCCGGGGTTGTGGGATCGAGCCCCGTGTCGGGCTCCACACAGCATGGAGCCTGCTTAGGATTCTCTCTCTCCCCCTGGCCCTTTTCCCAGCTCATGCGCACTCTCTCACTCTCTCTCAAAGTAAAAATAAAGGGGGCAGGAAGGGCATCCCGCTACCTGCCACCGTGTGGACGGACCCGGAGGACGCTGTGCGCGGTGACAGAAGCCGGACACACAGGACACGTCCTGCGTGACCCCACTCACAGGGGGTCCCCAGAGGCGTCCCGTCCACAGAGACAGAGAGTAGACGGTGGGAGCCGGGGGTGCAGTGGGGGTGTGTGTGTGTGAGGAGTCAGTGCTTCGTGGGGACAGAGTCTCAGTTCAAGGAGATGAGAAGATTCTGGAGACGGATGGCAGGGGTGGTTGCACAATAATGTGAATGTGCTTAGTGCCACCAAACTGGACCCTAAAGAAATTAGAATAATGGTGTATTTTGTATTATGTGTATTTTATCACAGTTAAAATAAGTTGTGAAATACAGATTTTATATTGTGTATATTTTACTGCCATGTGAAAACAAATTAAACAGAAATTTTAATTAATTAAAATTAAGTGCAGTGAGGGGCGCCTGGGTGGCTTAGTCGGTTTAGCTTCCGACTTTCGCTTAGGTCATGATCTTGTGGTTCGTGGGTTCGGGCCCCGCGTCGGGCTCTGTGCTGACTGCCAGCTCAGAGCCTGGAGCCTGTTTCAGTCTGTGACTCCCTCTCTCTCTGACCCTCCCTTGCTCACCCTCCCCTGCTCACGCTGTCTCTCTCTCTCTCCTAGAAATAAATAAAACATTTAAAAAAAAAATTAAATGCAGTGAAAAATCCACATTACAAGCAGTCAGTGTAGCTGGCGGCAGCCATGTGGGACAGCTTTCCATCATCACGTCTTTCAAGCAGGGGTCACGAACTGTGGCCTCCCAGCTCAGCCTCAGCCTCAGCCTGCCATCTGATTTTGCGTAGCTGGCGAGATAGGAATCTTTACATTTTTATGCAATTGAAAAAGGAAATCAAAAATAGAATCACATTTTGTGACATCTGAACTGATGTGAAAATCAAGTTTTTTTTAATGTTTGTTTATTTTTGAGAGAGAGAGAATATGTGAGCAAGGGAGGGCCAGAGAGAGAGGGAGACAGAGAATCTGAAGCAGGCTCCAGGCTCTGAGCTGTCAGCGCAGAGCCCGACACGGGGCTCGAACCCACAAAATATGAGATCATGACCTGAGCCAAAGTCGGATACTTAACTGGCTGAGCCACCCAGGCGCCCCCAATTCAAATCTCAATGTCCATAATAAAAGTGTCATAGGCAGGCAGCCACATCCCTTTGGTTACACATTGTCCACGGAGGCTTGCCTGCCTACAATGGCAGAGTTGAGGGCTCAAGATAGAGGCCATGTGTTCCGTAAAGAATTTCCTCCCTGTGTTTTTGCAGTTTGCCAGACCCCCAGCTTAGAACAAAACATCCCCAAGTGATATATATCCTGCTGCCCGGAACATGCTGGAGTCAGAGAGTCCGATTCCAACAGGTTCTGGAAATGAGCCATTCTGATGCTTGGTAAAATGATGGGATGTCCCGTTTTGCCTAGCGTGCCGGTGAGGATGAGGGCAAGCGTGGATGAGGCCAAGTGGGTCCCCCTCCTGTGAGGGACAGTTTGGCAGAATGTGTCAAAATGGTCAGCACATGTTCTCAGACACAATGATCCCATTTCTTGGCGGTTATGCATGTGCCTCATGCACATGCTTCCTGAGACCGTTGGGTGGAGAAGAGGAAGCAGAGAGGCGAGGCAGCGGAAGGACACAGGTGAGGGGCTGAGGCTGTGGTCCAGAGACCAGGGAGGCAGCACTGGAGGGAGAAAGGGTTGGGAGAGTAGGACATGGGATCCAGTGGCTCAGAGGAGGAGGCGTATTGGGCGTGGCCCCACCCAATAATCCATGGTGTGCCTTTCCCCCCAGTGTTTCATTGGTTTTGGGGCCAACTGGAAACTTGCTGAAGGTATTGAACCCTGTAAAAGAGACAATGTAAACGTAAAAATAACAGAGAATCCTATCGCTCTCAGTCAGCTTTGTATTGGAGGTCCCAGCCCGTGCAATATGGCAAGAGAAGAACATGAAACACCAAACACCTTGGAAAGAAAGAGACAACGTTTTCTCCTGCTCACGCTCTCTCTCTCTCTCTCTCTCTCCTAGAAATAAATAAAACATTTAAAAAAATAAATAAAAAAAAAAAAGAAGGAGACAACGTTTGCCAAATCCAAGAGAATCAGCTACCAGAAGTACTGAGTACAGCAAGATGGCCAAATACAACAGCGATATTACAAACATCAGCACCTCTCGGGGCGCCTGGGTAGCTCCATCAGTTGAGCATCTGACTCTTGGTTTCAGCTCAGGTCACGATCTCACGGTTTGTGGGTTCAAGCCCCATGCTGGGCTCAGTTCTGTCTGCACCAAGCCTGCTTGGAATTTCTCTCTCCCTCTCTCTCTGCCCCTCCCGTGCTCACATGTGAGCCTATGTACTCACTCACATTCTCTTTACCTCAAAAAATAAACATTAAAAAAAATCAACACCTCTCTTGTAAACTAGTCATGAACACTCAGAAAAGGCAGTTGTGAAAAACAGCATTCCCAATAACAGCAAAAGTTTTAAAACACATAAGCATCAGCTCAACAATTCCTTTCTGTCTAAAACCATAAAGCTCTCCTGAAGGGGCAAGAGAAAGAGCTCTGGATAAGGAAGCAATATACCATGTTCATGGATGGCCTTTCACTTTTTTTTAAAAGTTATTTTGTTTTAAGAGAGAGAGAGCAGAGGAGGGGCACAGAGAGAGGAAGAGAAGGAGAATACCAAGCAGGCTCTGCACTGTCAGCACAGAACCCAATGTGGGGCTCAAACCCATGAACTGTGAGATCGTGACCTAAGCAGGAATCCAGAGTCCAATGCTTAACCGACTGAGCCACCCACAGGCACCCTGATGGCCTTTCACTTCTTAAAAGTTTCCTGGCTGAGGGAACACCCTGTTTCTTTCATACATTACACATTCCTGGTCTGAAACCTTTTACTTCAGTGGGATTAGATCCATATAAATGGCAAAACTGAAGTCCATCCTGGGTAAGGCAAGCTGTCACATATATAAAATATGTCACTTATATAATTTTATATTTGACATGGTCACACTTTTAATGTTATTTCAAGAAGTCAAATACCCAGTCTATAGGGGTTTACTCACCCAAAAACAGATAGATGATAGATAGATAGATAGATAGATAGATAGATAGATAGATAGATAGATGATAGATAGATAGATAGATAGATAGATAGAACTTAAATGGTTCCTTGTTAAAAAAAAAAAGTGGGGGGAATTTTGTTTGAATAGAACATTTTTAGAGTGCCTATCATTGTCTCTTTTCTTTTCTTGTATGAAATTGTCCTAATTTAAGTCTTTTATTGTCAATTTCAGAAGACAAATTTTTTTCACAAAAGATAACTTCGAAAGTAGTCTCCTTCCTCTTTCCATCCCTACATCAATGAAGGTAGCTATTTTACTTCACCATCTCAAGGATTCTCAACATAAGTCACACTTTGGGCGGGGCGGGGGGGGGAGGTACAGTTTGGAAATACCATGCTAGTCTGTTTTTTTTTAAGTCTGGGGGGTTTATATTATAATGTACCTCTTAAAAGACATTGAGAGCAATTTCTAAGCCAGAAGAAGGGTTCATTATTCTATTTCTATTCTATTCTATTCTTTTTTTTTTTTCCTGAAAAAAAAAAAGAAAAGAAACAATTCTGAAGAGAATTGTTGGAAGTGTGTGTGTTATGGATAGATAGATTACATGCAGTAATCTTGGGCCCTCCCTAAATTGCCCTAAACCCAAACAGAAAAACCTTTACCCTCTCAGTAACCTGTCTACCTCTGGCCCCGACGCTAAAGAAGGCTTTGCCATCCATTAAAATGTCAATATTTCTCTTAGAAGCAAACCATTTATCATTTATGTTCATCGTTTGTTATTTGCTCTTTAGGCTTTATCCTCAGAGAAAGCTTTGGTAAGGAAGAAGGAGACAGAGTGAATTTAGGGATCCGAGGGTACCCCACACCAACTCCACCCTCCCAGTTTTGACTGCAGCGACCCGGGATATACCGCTCCCTGCACCTAGGAGCCATGGAGCTCTTGCCGGCATGCATGTCTCTTAAATGTGCATCTATATGTCTTGCTTTCTGAATCCTCTGAAATGATGCACTTACTGATCGCCTCCGTGTCATTATTGATAGGTCGGCGTGCCAGAAATAACATCAGCACACATCGCTGGCTCAGTACTGCTCTTAGTAGTGAATCAAAAAGTCTATATTTATGATTATGAAGCCAATTCCTGGAATGCATCTATAGGTATATGGGTTTTGTATTTTTTTTTAATTTTGTTTGCAATCATCCAAGAACAGGTTCTTAATTTTGGAAATATGAACAGCCAGCCAGGCGCCCGAAGAACTCGTGTGTTTTTTTTTTAATGCTCTTTTCCTTTTAGGGATAGAACACCCTGTTTCACATATTTCTGGTGACAATTGTTGTTATAGCAGACATCCGTTTTGTGTGGTGAGTATACAGTGTGTAGCCTGTCCAGCTTTACTAAGATTCTCTCCCTCTCTCTGCCCCTCCCCTGCTTGCTCTCTCTCTCTCTCTGTCAACATAAATAAACATGAAACATTTTTAGAAAAAAAAAAAAAGACTTTTATGTGTCTCTTCTTCCAGGATATAAGTAATTCCGTGTTTGCTTATCTGCATGGAGATCAGATATCTCAGACCACTATATACGTCTCTAACTCCCGGGGGTACGAATTTCAGAAGTTTGCCTATGAAAGACAGGTACGTTCAATTTGGTAAGAATGTGAACAACGAAATCAAGAAGTACATATTGACCTCCTGCGTGGTGGGAGTAGTTAGCAGTCGCTGGGTGGCCAAGGGCTTTTCTCTCTATAAAGAGTCCAACTGGCGGGGAAGGTAGGGGAAATTCCAGGTCCAGGGAGCTCGCACTAGGAAGTTAGGAAAGGGTACAAGAGGCATTAGGTCACAGGACACGGTGGTAAAGCCACAGTAAAGGCTGCACAGTGATTATGGCTGCTAACCCCAGAGCCATCCCAAGATCAGTACCATCAGGTACCATCATCATCCCAGTTACACAGATGAGAGAACTGTCCTGGGTGGAATATATGCCCCACCCACCCCCAATCGTGTTCATCCAGAACCTCAGAGACCCCAGAGTGTAACCTCACTTGGAAACAGGGTCTTTGCAGATTTAATTAGTAAAGCTGAGGTCACACTGGATCAGGGCAGCTCCTAAATCCAAAGGGACCAGTGTCCTTGTTAAGAAGAGGAGAGGATGTGGAGAGATGCACACGGAGAAGAAGGCCATGTGAAGACGCGGGCAGATGTTGCAGGGGTGTGGCTACGAGCCAAGGAACGCCGGGGGTCACTGGTGACCACCAGCAGCTGGAAGAGAGGTGTGGCGTGACTTCTTCCTCAGAGCCTCGGTGGGAGCCGGCTCTGCCAACAGTGACTTCCCGCCTCCACGAAGGTGACGGTAAATTTCCTTGGTTTCAAGCCCCAGGAAATGGATAGAGGGGTGAGGGCACAGAGCAGTGCAGGGCCTTCGCCCCACCGCTTGGCAGAGCCGGGACCCCGGCAGCTGAAGTGGACAGGCTCAGGGACGAGGAGATTCTGTTCTGATGCAGAGAATGTCTTCATCCCTACACCCTCGGGAAGTATGTGCAAAGGAAGGAAGGAAGAGTCGACTCCGCTCACAAACTCTGACTGTATCCTAAATGCCGGCTCTGTGACCTGCCCAGGAGGCCCATGGGAGCCTAGAACCCAAATGACTACGGACTTTCATCCGAAATTAGGCCTAGAAGGACTCAGAGTTAACATGTGTGATTCGTTGAAAACTATCATCACTAGAAACTGAAAGATAGGTAGGTAGGTAGGTAGATGATAGATACATTCATACATATACATACATACATACATACACAGGTACCTAGATAGATAGATAGATAGATAGATAGATAGATAGATAGATAGATGATAGATAGACAGATAGATAGAGATGATAGATACATACATACATACATATAGATAGAAGATAGAGATGATAGATAGATAGCTATACATGGATGCTAGATAGAGATGATAGATAAATAAATGATAGGTATAGACGGATGATAGAGATGACAGATAAATGATACACACATAGATCTAGGTAGATGATAAATAGATGAGAGATAGATAGATATTTAGGTGGATTATACATAGAAAGGCTAACTGACAATGGAATTGGCTCACATGGTTATGCGGGCAGAGAAGCCCCCCAGTCTGCCATCTATGAGCCGGAGAACCAGGAAGTCCAGCTCTACTGTTCAGTCTGAAGACCAAGGGCCGAGAACCAGGGAACGGCTGGTGTGAGTCCCAACATCTGAAGGCCTAAGAACCAAAAGCTCTGATGTCCAAGGGCAGGAGAAGATGGGCGTCCCAGCTCAAGAAGAGAGAACAAATTCACCCCTCCTCCTCCTCTTTGTTCCACGTGAGCCCCCAACGGATTGGGTGATGCCCGCCCACGTTGGTGAGAGTGACCTGCTTCATTGGCGCTACTGAACTAAATACTGATCTCTTCCAGAATCTCCTTCACAGACACACCCAGAGATAATGTTTTACCAGCTCCCTGGGCATTCCTTAGCTCCATCCAGCTGATACACACAACAAACCAACACAAGTCCACCCCGGTCAGCTTGGCACCCACACACATCTCCATACTTCATCTCCAAATAAAGACACTGACAAGGTCATCATTCTGTCCACCCAATACAACCATCCCAAGCACAACCCAAAATGCACTCCTCCTCTCCCCAGGGGAGAAGGTCAAGTTCTAGGTGATGTTTACTCTTCTCCTTGATGTCCCCTTCACTCAGACACCAATTATTAACACAGTAGTCTTTCTGCTGTGTGTGCGTGTGTGGTTATTGCTGTTTTCATGCCAAAGGGCTGAGATTCCGAGCAATCGTGATTCACCCCCTTGGGGTGCTGCCAGCAGGGAAGGCATTGGCATGTTCGGTGGGGAGGTGATGGGCAACTTGTGCCAGTTGGGATGGATGAACTGTCTGTCTTGATCAGCCTGGGCCACCACAACAGACCCCACAGACTGGGTGACTCAAGCAACAGACATTTATTTCTCATAGTTCTAGAGGCTGGGAAGTCTGAGATCCAGACACTGGTGGATTCATCCCTTGGTGAGGGCTCTCTTCCTGGCTCACAGATGGCTGTCTTCTTACTGTATCCTCACACGGAGAAGCGAGAACACTCTGGTGTCTCTTCTTACAAGGATGTTAACCCCATCGTTGGGGCTCCACTCTTATGACCTAATCTAAACCTAATTACCTCCCCGAGGCCTCACCTCCAAGGACTTTAACATAGGAATTTGGAGGGGCTGGGGGGCACGATTCAGTCCATGGATCTGTCTGTATTAGAAAATTTCCCCTTAATGACTTACATTAATGAGGCTTACATAAAACAAGTCTTTCTCTCTTACCTGGAGATGTCTGGAGGCACCCAGCTGTGCTGCCCCACTCGCCCTAGGTGAGGACCCTTGGCAAGCATCTAGCGTCTGGGTCACACCACTTCCTCCAACACCCCCAAACAGGGCTGCCTTCATTCAAGGTTCTGTCCTACATGCTACATTTCCTCAGAGGGGAAATAGACCAGAACAAAATAGACTTTCCTTCATGTTAGCTAATTAGGTAATCTGGAGTTCAAATCAAAGACATGTTAATGATTTCTTCATACTTGGTATGTTTTTCTTTGTTTCGTAGGCAGAACTAGTCGGGTCTTTGGGTGGGGTCTTCTACTTTCACTCCTTGTCACAGGCTGGGCTGCTTCTCATTGATCAAGGGAAGGTGAGTAGCTTTGGGCTGGGAAGAAAGACTTAAGGGACCTTTGCCCCAAGCCAGGTTTTTGTTAAAACTTACACACTTGGATTTTCATCTCTGAAATCCATCTAGCTTTTCATTTACCTGTCCATTCATTCATCTACCTAACTATCCATCCATCCTTCCATCTACCCTCACCCACTAATCCACCTATCCTACCTACTTATCCATCCATCCATCCATCCATCCATCCATCCATCCATCCATGTACACACCCATCCATCCACTTACCTACTTATCCATCCACTCATCTACCCACCTGTCCACCTACCTAGTTGGCCATTCATCCATCCATTCACCTACCTATACATCCATATACCCACCTACCCACTCACACTCCCACCACCCATCTCCCCTGCATTCATTTGTCCATTCAGTCATGCATTTGGCAATATGTAAGTGGTGTCTAGGAGATGCTAAGCACTATGCTGAGCACTGGGGATAAAATACAAGGTGTGTGCATCACTGACTGCGCAAAAGAGCATCTTAGATATTTCATGTTGAACTATTCTCTAACGATTATTTTCATGTGTGTTCAGAACACCGGGATATGAAACCTGTGACCTCACAGAGATCCTTTAGAATAAGGCGAAGTGAAGGAGAGGAGTCGGTCCATGTAAAGTGCATTTGAAGAAAAAAAAATTAAGTCAGAAAAAGGTTAGGTACAGTCAGTACCCAGGCATTTCAGATAGTGTAAGTGGGACATACAGCTCTGGAGTTCAGGGGAGCCCTGCCGTCAGGAAGCTTCCAGAATTTGGGCTGACCTCCATGGCTGAAAGCCCCTCACCCCCTGACCCCTGCGTGGTCCTGTCCCCACACAGGTGCCCTCATTAGCATAAGTTCCCTGGACCATGTATCTCCCCGGGGTGAGTGCGTATCCTCATGGTTACCACCTACCCCGAGTCCCAGAGGGTGTGGCTGGCGGCCGTCCACGCCTGGGGGGCTTGCTCCCTGCACATCTGCATTCCTCTGCCTATAGTCGGGCTGAAGTCTGTTGAGGTACCTTGGCCAAGGCCTCCTTAAGGAGAGAGAGGAAACCAGCAGGGCACATGTCTCTGCCTGGTACTCAGTACATTGTGCTCAGTGCTCAGTGCTTTTCCGCTCCTGGCCTCCCCGCCCCCTGGCCCCTGAGTGCCTGAAACTGCTGGAGCCTTGGGTCTGGGTGGGGCTCCCTCCGCAGTGAGCGGAGCCTCTCACCTGACCCAGCAGCCCTCAGCATGAGGAGGGGCGGCGGGGGGCTCTGCGCTTTCTCTGCTTTCTCCGGCCTCACCTCCTCCAGGCTGACCTCCTTCGTGTTTGCCGTGTTGCCCTAGTTATCTCCTCTACCACCGGCAGCCCGCCTGAGGACAGGGGACCAGAGCCAGCCGTCATATTACCTGGGGGGCCTGGGTCGGGCCTGCGATGGGCGCTCACAGGCTCAGCGGGGGCAGCCGGCCCGGCCCCTGGGTCCTCCATGGGGGGGGCTCTGGGGCCCGTGCACCAGCCCTCCCGCCCTGAGTCCCTGGCAGCCCAGGCCGAGAGGGCAGGGCCCCTCGGCCTCCGCCCGGAGTGCCCTGTGGCAGGAATAGCTGTTCGGGGCGTCACTGCTGACCCAGCGATTGCCCCTGTCGCCCCGGATTCAGGGCTCTCTTTCTCGCAGGCTATGTTCAGCTACTCAGAACACCCCCTGAACCGCAGTTTGGGGCTCCCCTTTGACTACAACGGGACCCTTGACATCCTCATCACCCCCGGCCAGAAGGGCATGCTGATCTTGTGGTTTGAGAGGAGCCTGTTGGTTTCTGGAAACGCGGGTGAGCGAGGCCCAGGCGTGGGGCCGCCCTCGGTGTCCCCTCGGGTGAGGAGAGCGCGGCGGGGTTTCTCCCCACAGGCATGAGCAGACTGGGGGCAACCCTTCCCGCGCCGAGGTCCTCACTGAGTCCAGCACCCCACCCCACGCCATTTCCTGCCTCCTCCAGTCTTTAGGGCCACGTGGGCAGGTTCTGAAAGTTCCCCCCCCCATCATCTAGGACAGCCCTGGTCTTCCATTCAGGGACCACAGGTCCACGACTCTGGGACGCGGCTCAGGGCTTCCCCTGGAGGGAGAGAAATCGGGAAATGACACACTGAGGTCCCTGCAGTGCCCAGGCCACGCGAGCCCCTGCCCACCAGCCAGCACGAAGGAGACAAGGAGCAGAAGGCAGCCCCACCCCGGGGGAGGCATACTGTCAGGGACCCCTGGGCACCAATGTGGCTGCAGGTGCACCTACAATCGCAGCCCACTTCACAGAACCAGTCAGGCCGCCTGAACACTGTCCGCCGACCCCCCTCCCCCCAACACCCAATCCCCTTCCCACCCCTGCAGCGCAAGGAAAGGGCTCAGGGCTGACTGGTCCATTTAGAGAGCTCATTCCAGAAGGGAAGCTCTTACTCCTCACCCATGCTCCCTGTATCGTAAAATTCCAAGGCATTCACGCCTCCAGCAGCGAGGGACACATTTCCCCTGAACTCTGAGCCGATGGCGTTTCTGTCTGCCCCCCAGGGCATTCTGTCACTTGGGTTGCTCACCAAGGGCTGGGGGTGGGCAGGCGGCGGAGGCCCCTTCCTCATGACCCGCCCCTTGTCCCACAGGTCAGTTCGTCGACACTGTACACGTGAATGAAGAACCCTATGTCTTGTACTCCTCTGTGTCCGAGGCCAGCATCACCATCCACAGCATCGCTGCCAGTGCGTGGCCAGCCTACGGGCAGCTTTCTAGAAGGCGCCCTGTTCGGGGCTCAGTTCGCCACCCACCCTGCTAGATCCGGTCCACCCCAACCAAACCCCAACGTGATCATCGCACGTTTGGGAACAGCTCCCGGCACAAGCCATCGCGCCTTTTCACCACGATGGAATGTTCGCTGGGCACTCGTTTCCTAAGGCCGCTGCCATCAATACCCACGAATCGGGGGAAGGGGGCAGGGGGGCGGTCCTGGAGGCCTGAGGTCTGACATCAACGCGTCAGCCGGCCTATGCTCCCTGCTTAGGCTCCAGGACAGGATCTGCCCCAGGCCCATCTCTCTGGCTTGAAAACCATCGTCCCCTATGTCCGCACGCTGTGCCCCCTTCTGGGCATGTCCCCACGTCCATGTTTCCCCTTTTAAAAAAAGTTTTTTTAATGTTTTTTTGAGGAGGAGGGAAGGGCAAAGAGAGGGGGAGATGCAGAATCCGAAACAGGCTCCAGGCTCCAGGCTGTCAGCACAGAGTCCGATGTGGGTCTTGACCCCACAAACCGAGAGATCATGACCTGAGCTGAAGTCTGACGCTTAACCGACAGAGCCCCCCGGCCACCCCTTGTATTTCCCCTTTTTATAAGGACACCAGTCATACTGAATTAGGACCCACCCTGATGACCTCATTTGAACTTGATCACTTCTGGAAAGACGTGATCCCCAAATACAGTCACCTGCTGAGGTCCTGGGGGTTAGGACCCCAATCTATCTTTTTTGGAGGGGACACGTTTCAACCCCTACCAGATGGCATCCCTAGGATTTCTTTAGCCACCAAATTGCTGTCCTGGTGCTGTCTTAAAAGGTGACATTCACCCAAGTAATTCTTCTTCTCAAAGTTGGAAACTTTGAGGCAAATAGTGGGATAAACTCGGGGGAGGGGGAGTCTCTTGAGTTTTAAGTCACTATTTCCTCTGTTTGCTGATCACTGCATTACATCCTACTATATATGTCCCTATATCTGTTTAAAATTAACTTATGATTATAGAAATCTACGACACAGCATTTCCTTATCATTAACCCGTGGCGCACGGTCCTTAAAGAAATTTTTCTTCCTAACGTTACAAACACGATTAAAGTCCCTTGCCCGAGCTTCCCAAACCCAGGCCCCTCTCCAGCTTCCTGGAGGTAACCCCGGTTAGGAATCTGGAGTGAAAGACCGTCGGTTGAAAGACTCACAGGAATTAAATATGGATCTGGCGAGAACAGGCAGCATTTCTTCTCCAGGCTGTCTGCTCGCGTATAAATGCTGTCCTGTTACAGAGTGAGCCATTCTGCCGCCTGCCTTTCCCCTTACACTCATCTTCTATGTCATTGTGGGGAGAATGCACCACGAGAGACCCGCCTCTTAACAACCTGGGAAGTGCCCAGTGCAGTATTAACCACAGGCACGATGCCCAGCAGAGCTCTAGAACGTACTCCTGAGAGAGTTCTAGACCATCGCGCATACCTGAAACCTTATACCTGGTGTAAGGCCAGCTCCTCCCCATTTCCTCAACCTGGGGACACTTGGCGGTGTCTGGGGACATCTGTGGTTGTCTCATGGGGGAAGGGGGGCATGCTCCCAGTATCTACTGGGTAGAGGCCAGGGATACTGCTTAACATCCTACGGTGCCCAGGACGCACCCCTCCGCAAACCATCACCAAGAAGGATCTGGTCCCTAACCTCACTAGAGCCAAGGCTGAGAAACCCTCACTCAGCACATTCATTCACTCCTTGCTCTGCAAACACACCTCTACTTTTCTTTACGTTTATTTATTTTTGAGAGACAGAGACAGAGCGCGAGTGGGGGAGGGGCAGGGAGAGAGGGAGACACAGGATCCCAAGCAGCTCCAGGCTCCGAGCTGCAGCGTGGGGCTCGAACTCACAAACTGTGAGATCATGACCTGAGCCGCTCAACTGACTGAGCCACCCAGGCGCCCCAGCACACCTCCGTTTTCTACATCAGATGCTTTCCCCCAAGGTTCAGCTTAAGCCTCAGTTTTTCTGAAAGCTTCTCTTTTCTTTTTAAAGAATAAAAATAGATTTCGGTCATGTTGACCCTTTCACAAAATCTTTCAGCGATGTCCTGTGTTTCTTGGAACTTTGTGTCTGTAAAAGACCAGAACAGCCCCCAGGTCCACCGTGGGGGACCAGATAAGTAGGTCCTGGTTCACTGGGGCACGCTGCATGCACATGGAAGAAAACAAGTTTTGTTCTTAAAAAACTTGGGTTCCGGAATCCGATGCCACGTGGAGCAGACTCCCAGCACAAATGTGTACTAAAACATGTAACCGGGGTTACCCAAGTCGGGGCTCAGCAAACCAGAGCCCGAGGGCCAGATGTGGCCCACTGCTGGTTTTTGTAAATAAAGCTTTATTGGCTCCCTCAGTTAAGCATCCGACTCTCAGCTTCTGCTCGGGTCACGATCTCGCGTTTCGTGAGTTCAAGCCCTGATGGCTCAGAGCCTGCTTGGGATTCTCTGTCTCCCTCTCGCCCTGCCCATCCGCCTGCTCACTTCTCTCTCTCTCTCTCAAACTTAAAAAAAATAAAGTATCGGAACACAATCAGGCCCATCCACTTACACGTGGCCAGTAGCTGCTTCCACAGAGTTGAAAACTTGTAACACATCACCTGACCGGCAAAGCAGAAAACATCACCATCTGGTCTTTCACAGAAGTCTGCTGACCCCTGGTCTGTATGATGGAATCTGGAGTCATTTTTTTTGAACTTTTTAAATATCTGTTACAGTTTTATCCACCGGAACAGCCCTCATTTCAATTTTGTTCTGTCTCATTTGGTTTTTCCTAGATCAGAACGAGCTGGCAGTTTTAACTCAAGAGAACAATTTGTATTATGGCAGCCTTGGAATCCTGCCGAGCCATCTAGTCAAAGTAGGTAAAAATCAAAGTACTGTTATTACCCTGCCGGTGAGGAAATACGGCCTCATCCTCAAACTTCGGAGCCTATTTCCTGAAGGCTAGGAATTACTCTAGTTATTAAAATAGTACTGGTATTTTAATAACAGTGGCAATAGCTTGATACTAATTTTAACTAACATGGAATTATTAAATTTAATTTAACATTGAACATTTTGAATATTCATGGTGATTTTTACTAATTGTTAAAATTGTGGCCGCAGGGGCACCTGGGTGGCTCAGTCGGTTGGGCATCCGACTTTGGCTCAGGTCATGATCTCATGGTTCATAGGTTTGAGCCCCGCGTCGGGCTCTGTGCTGACAGCTCAGAGCCTGGAGCCTGTTTTGTATTCTGTGTCTCCCTCTCTCTCTGACCCTCCCCTGCTCACACTGTCTCTCTCTCTCTCAGAAATAAAAACATAAAAGAAAACTTTTTTAATAAAGTAAAATAAAATTGTGGCCACAGCAGCTAAAACTTACGGAGCACTCAGAATACCGGAAGTGCTGGTCTAAGCAGTTTCCTTGTTTACCTCATTTAACCCCGACCGTCATCTTAAGCAGCAGCAGCTCAGAGGTGCCTGGGACGCTCAGTTGGTGGACCATGCGACTCTTGATCACGGGGTCGTGAGGTGGAGCCCCACCTTGGGGGCAGAGATAACTAGAAAAGAAATAAACAAATAAACTTAAAGAAAAAGAAAAAGAAGTAGAACCCTGTATTGCCCCCATTGGACAGACGGAAAAACTGAGGCACAGAGACCAGAAGTGGTGACGCCAGGGTTATTTCACACCACCTTCTATGCCATGCCTGTCTGATTTTATTTCACCCTCACAAAACCCCAGGCAGGAGATAATATCATCCAACTTTTACAAGGGAGGAAAAACTGAATTCCAGATTTCTCTTTCCTAAGGGCCGATGACTCCGTTAGCAACTGAGCCAGAAAGGAAACACCAGGATCATCTTCGAAGCCTCCACCCTGACATTCTTTTTTTTTTTTTTTTTAAGTTTATTTATTTTTGAGAGACAGAGGGAACATAGGAGGAGCAGAGAGGGAAAGAGAGGAAGAGAGAGAGAGAGAATCCCCAGCGGGCTCCGCGCAGAGCCTGACACGGAGCCCGAACTCACCAACTGTGAGACCAGAAACCAAGAGTTGACACAGAGTCAGACGCTTAACCGACGGAGCCACCTGGCGCCCCATCACGCTGCCATTCTTGACGACCAGGGCGTTTTCTGGGGGACGGTCTGCAGCTTTTGTCTGACTTTCCAGAACATTCCAAGACCTGTGGATAAGTCTAGAATTATTTCCCGTGTATCCTCTCTGATGAGGAAATATGGAGTTTCCATCATTAACCACCAAGGAATGAATGAAGCTGGAGTAGGTTATCTCCACGAAGTGCGCTGATGACTTTGTTTATTTGGTCTTCCCTCTAAATTTAAACCTGAATCATAAGATAAAATGTACATCAAAAAAGACTTAGAATGACTGGAGCTCTGAAATCGCTCTTCTCTTAGTTTTCAGGCCAAAACATCTGGTCCCAAGAGGCAGCCCTGATGTTCAATGATGTGGGGAGGCTGGAAATATTGACCCCGCTCCCCGATGCGAAGTTTCCAGCCTTTGATTTCCAGAAGTGCCCTTTGAATATTCAGGCAATTCTCATGGATCCCAAACTCCACGTTGACCTTTGCAAAGTATGTGATCATAACTGTTTAAATCGATGTTCCAGGTACCCTTTTTTTTAATGTTTATATTTTTTTTTTGAGAGAGAGAGAGAGAGAGAAAATGAGTGAGGAAGGGGCAAGACAGAGACTGAGACACAGAATCTGAAGCACCTCCAGGCTCTGAGCTGTCAGCACAGAGCCCAACGCGGGGCTCAAACCCACGAACCGTGAGATCATGACCTGAGCCGAAGTCGGACACTTAACTGACTGAGCCCCCCAGGCCCCCCTCCGGGCGGGCAATCTTTCTAAAAAAGGCAAATCTCAGGGTGCCTGGGTGGCTCAGTCACTTAAGCCTCTGACTCTTCATTTCAACTCAGCCCACGATCTTGCGGTTCCTGGGATGGAGCCTCGCCTCCGGCTCCTTCCTGGCAGCACAACCCACATGGGATTCCCCCTCCAGTCCCCCCTCTTTCTCTCTCTGGCTCCCTGCCCCTCCCCCGCTCAAAGTAAATAATAATAAATAAACATTAAACAAATAAATACAAAAGACTAATCCCGCAGACCCAGAGGTGGGCATTTGTCACCAGGCTGCACAGGAGGGCCCTGAGGAAGGCTGCCGGATAAACTGGGCAACGCCCAGTTACACTTGAATTTCACGTGAGCGACTAAATCCAGCACCCCGCCGTCACCGCCCCCAGGGCTGGCACCCTCACCCTGTACAGCTTCACGCCCCTCATTTCAGATAGAAACACAGTAGATGCTCTTTGCAACAAGAAGCCAGCCAACCCTCGCGAGGGTCTGGAAGAGCCTGGAGCAGGTGATGTGCTTTCCTGGGCTGTTCTCGCTCTCGAGCAGTCAGATGCGCCATCAAGGTTGTGCAGAGTCTTCCCTGGAGAGCTCTGGACCGGAAGGTTTGGTTGGGCCTGAGGTTTCCAGAAGCCACAGGGGTCAGAGAAGGCGGAACTTGTAGAAACAGGGAAGCACGGTCAATTCTGATTCACTGTTCTGTGAATAACGGAAAGTCCGGATCAAAGGGGCTTAAGCCGCACACACAACTGTTGACTCGTGCAGCCAGAAGGTCTGGGGGCGGGTGGACTTCAGGTGAGGCCTGATCTGGTAACTGGGCCCGCCTGGCAGCTCCAGGCTTCGTCCTGAAAGTCCCTGAGAGGCTCTCCTACCCCGGCAGCGAGGCGGCTGCCACGGGCCTGCATCCTCATGCAGTATCCCGGGAGCGAGAGAGAGGGTCTCACATCAGGGTACTGCAGAAGCCAAGGGAAACCCCAGCCACGTCTCTGCGTCCCTTAGGCTCAGAGGGGACAACCAGCCCATTCCCGGAGCAATCACATGGCTGGGGGGAGCCGATCAGAGCCCACTGCTGGGGACCGCAGTGAGCGCCGTCCACCGGGCCACCTGCCCAGGGATGTGGAGAGGGGCAGCTGCCAAAGGAAAGTGAGCTTACCCTCGGGAAGAGGGACCAGCCCCGGGACAGAATTGTCCAGTTCCCTCTAAAATCCATCTCCGCCAGACCCTGGCAATCACACGGTCAGAAGTGCTGGAGAATGCCATTCTTCTCTTTTTCCCAATTTTCTATTTCTTTTTTTTTTATATAAAATTTGTTAATGTTTATTTTATTTTTGAGAGAGAGAGACAGGACAGAGTGTGAGTGGAGGAGGGACAGACAGAGAGGGAGACAGAATCCTAAGCAGACTCAAGGCTCTGAGCTGTCAGCACAGAGCCCAACGTGGAGCTCGAACCCACGAACCGTGAGATCATGACCTGAGCTGAAGTCGGATGCTTAACCAGCTGAGCCACCCAGGCGCCCCAGGGGTGTCCATTTCCAAATGGCCTTTGGATCCATGGCATTTAGCGATAATGGGAAACAAAAAAGGGAGATATTCCTTATACTAAGTATATCGATGTATGAAAATATCCTCTTATGAAATGATGGTGCTAATAGATGGGAGTGTTCTGGGTTTTTTTCTTCTTTTCTTTACTTGCCACAGTAAAATATCAACCCCCAGCCATGGAGATCTTCTTGTGGGCCCTTGGAATCACATGTCTGGGAAAGTGGAGAAAGAGCGAGCAAGCAACAGAAAGGCCTTTGGGGAAATGCGCTCCCTCAAACTCTTCTGGGGAAAAGGGCTGTGCCATTAGCAAGTAGTTTTCCCAGATCCTGCCCCCCCCAACAAAGCCCCACCCCAAACAGCAACTACCCAGCATAGCCAAAATCCACGGGTGATGGGGCACCTGGCTGGCTCAGTCGGAAAAGCACGCGACCCTCCAGGTCATGAGTTTGAGCCCCATGTTGGGCTTAAAAACATAACTTAAAAACAAAAACAAAACCCCAAAAATCACCTGGATGAGAGCCGGGACAATCGGGCAGAGAAGATGAATCACCCGGTTTCAGACAATGAGCCAAAGTGTAGTAACCCAAACCTGAGAGGCCCCTCGGCCCACACCCACCTGCGCTGGGAAATCTAGACGGTGGGAATCCATGGCTCCAGCAGCCTGGGGGCTTCAGAGATGAATGGAAATACGCGGAAGGGACGAAGGCTTGAAAGGGACTTAGAACAACGTCTGAAAATGGGCAGGACTGCGTTATATCACCTAGGGGTGCGCACTTGGCCAAGAGATAATTATGGCACAAGTCAGGCGTGGGGGGCGGTGGGGAGACTTCTGGAAAGAGGAGGGTCTGCAGTGGGGCGGACGGGAGCCTCTTCTGGGGGCTGCCGGACCCAGCGGGGAAGGGCCGCGTGCGGGAAAGACGGGAAGGTTCCATCCCTAGGGGAGACCATCGCTGGCCTCCCACCTGCCTGCGGCCCCTTCTGCGAATCTGATTTGACGGACTGATTTGCACGGCGTTTCCGCCCAGGTCGAGCTTCTACAGGGAGAATTTGACAACAAGATGTACATCATCGACATGAACAGCAACCTGGAGCTGACGGCGCTCATGATATCACGGCCCGGCACGTCGCCTGTCCCGCTGGTAAGGCCACCTCCTGACGCCATCAGGTGCTTCTGGGCCGGGCGTTCCCCCAGCGTCGCGGGCCCCGCAATCTCCACCCCCCCCCCAGGAGGGCCCTCACTCGTGAGACTCTGTAGAAACAGAGCAGGAGGTGCTGAGGGACAGCGGGTGTCCCCAGGCCTGAAACCCAAGTGGCCAAGCCAGGACTCTTGGGTACAAGTCATCAAGCTGAAAACGAGGCGGCGGCGAGGGGTGGGGGGGAGAGATTACTGTAAGGCCATGCGGGGGGGGGCGCGGAGAGTCCAGCCAGGGGAGGCCAGGCTGACCCCAGCTCTTACCTTGGGCTCCTCCAGGGTCCCCACCAGCAGGGACGGGTCTGGGTCCCGCAGCTCTAAGCCACAGTTGGGGGTAGATGAGGCGGGGGGGGGGGGTAGGGGGATAGGGGGCATCTGCCTTTGCACAGCAGGCCCGGGTTTCAGTGTGAAGGGGCACGGGGTCCCCTGTGGGTGAGACCCCAGTGGCACCCCTTTGTGCCTCCCAGCCCCAGTAAATTGCAAGCGTCTCCTCCCCGCCCCCCCCCCCAGGCAATGGTGAGCAACCCCCACTCCCTGGGGCTGCAGGTCATCATCTATGAGGATGGCTACACCTACGACGGAAATACCAAGCACAGGCTGGTGAGCTGCGCCCCTGCCCCAGGTCAGTGCAGGGAAGGGCACAGCCTTGGCGGGGCCCAGCCAGGACCCTGCCTGGAGGTGTCCCTCAGCCTGAACTTCCTCCTTCCCTTCCTTGCCGATGGCTGGAGAAGGCCCTAAAGCATCTGGAGAGGACACAGCCCTGCTCCTCCCCCTCCCCCCCCTGCAGGCAGGCAGCCCAGGGGAGGAGCACAGGGAGGCGGCAGAGAGCCTAACAGAGCCCCAGGGAAATCCAGGTAGCTGGGTAAACTGAGGCATCAGGACGGAGGTGAAATAGGAGGACCAGGAGGGGCCTGGCCAAATAGGAGGCCGGGGCGCTCCTCAGGACGGAGCCAGGCCTCACGGTCACACCACGGGGTTTGCACTTGACCCCAGCAGCCCAGAGTGGGGGTGGGCGGATTCCACAGGAGGGGGGCCTGACCCAGGATCAGTCAGCCACCAGGGGATCTTTGGAGTGGTTCTGGCCACCACGTCCTAAAGAAGAGGGGAAAAAGTCACCCCTCACTCTGGGTCCCCCAGACAAAGACAGCCAGGAAGTGAAGGAGCTTGGGGCTGGTCATTTCCATGAGCTTCCAGAAGCCGCTCTCGGTGGTATCATTAGAACCAGGAGGCGGCTGGACGTTTCCAGGCTCCTCCTCCCAACGCTGGGTCCTGCCTCTGTGCCCCCCACCCCCTAGCCCCCACTCACCATCACCATGTTTGTTCTCTCGGTTCCACAGAACATTTCCCTGAGGCAGCAGCACCACTGGGGCACAGCCGACCCCAACTTCACCTCCAGGTACACGGTGGCCTAGGTGGGCGGGCGGCCCTGCATATGGGGCTCCCTGCACATGATTTGGGAACGTGGGGCCGAGATCCAGACTCCTTCCCTCCAAGGACAGGAAGGCCAGAAAAATCGGCAACACCTTCTAAATGGTGGTTCCTCAAAAAATTAAACATAGGCTTGCCACGCGGCCCGGCAACCCCGCTTCTGGGTCTACACCCGGAAGAATGGAACTCAGGGGCTCGAACAGATATGTGCACACCCGTGTTTATAGCAGTGGAAGCAACCCCGTGTCCACAGACGGCCGGGTGGAGGGAGAGGGTGTGGGCCATCCACGCGCTGGGATGCGACCCGGCCGCAGGAAGGAAGGACGTCCGGCCACCTGCCACCACCTGGACAGACCCTGAGGACACTGTGCGCGGTGACAAGACACAGAAGGACACTTCCTGCGTGAGCCCACTCACCGGGGTCCCTAAAATATACATTTCAACATGCTTTAATTCTAGATATGGAATTTTCTATCACCATATCATAGAATTGAAATTTGCTAAGACCTTAGAACTAAAGTATTCTAGGGGCGCCTGGGGGGCTCAGTCGGTGAAGCATCCGACTTCGGCTCAGGTCATGATCTCACGGTTCCTGAGTTCAAGCCCCGCGTCGGGCTCTGTGCTGACAGCTCAGAGCCTGGAGCTGCTTCGGATTCCGTGTCTCCCTCTCTCTCAGCCCCTCCCCCATTCTCTCTCTCTCTCTCAAAAATAAACATTAAAGGGGCGCCTGGGTGGCTTAGTCGGTTAAGCGTCCGATTTTCACTTAGGTCATGATCTCGCGGTTCATGGGTTCGAGCCCCGCGTCGGGCTCTGTGCTGACAGCTCAGAGCCTGGAGCTGCTTCGGATTCCGTGTCTCCCTCTCTCTCAGCCCCTCCCCCATTCTCTCTCTCTCTCTCAAAAATAAACATTAAAGGGGCGCCTGGGTGGCTTAGTCGGTTAAGCGTCCGATTTTCACTTAGGTCATGATCTCGCGGTTCATGGGTTCGAGCCCCGCGTCGGGCTCTGTGCCGACTGCCAGCTCAGAGCCTGGAGCCTATTTCAGAGTCTGTGACTCCCTCTCTCTCTGACCCTCCCCTGCTCACGCTGTCTCTCTCTCTCTCCTAGAAATAAATAAAGCATTAAAAAATTTAAAAAAAAACATTAAAAACATTTTTTAAATCAATTTTTATGCACTTGGCAATTAAAAAAAATCAATCGGATCTCCCGGTAGAGATTTTCAGACCACGTGCTCAGACCATAATCCAACAAAACTAGAACTGAATGGCCAGAAAAACAAAACCAATGACAAAAAGCCCCTTTTCTTGGAAATTAAGAGATACTTTTATAAATAACCTTTGAATCTTAGAACCCTACAGCTGAAATATATGCAGAGGAAAATTGGTACCCTGAGCATTTTTATTTTAGGGGGAAAAATAGACTAAAGAGGCATGAAGTAACTATTTAACTTAAATAACCAGGGGAACCAGACAAAAAGGGGATTAAACATGATGCGATCTGAAATGTACTAAACAGCAAAAAGACAGGATAAAGTCAAAAAGATACACAAACCTGGTTGTTCAAAAGACCAGCACACGAAGTGAGACCCCGCAACCCTGACGAAGGAAGGGAGAATTGAAATAAACAGTAGGAACAGAAAATGACAAGTGTGGATACTTAGGAAAGAACGAGGGGAAGGGCTTCATCGAACTCAAAACTCCTGCACAGCAAAGGAAGCCGTCCGCAAAATGAAAAGGCAGCCCGCTGACTGGGAGAAGATGCTGAAATCCAAAACATGTAAAGAACCCCCAGAACTCAATAACAGTGATGAGAACCCGATGAAAACATGGGCAGAAGATCTGCACACACGCTTTTTCAGAGAAGACCTCCGGATGCGCAACAGACACGTGAAAAGATGCTGCACGTTGCTCATCATCAGGGAAATGCAGGTCGCAACCAGAATGAGACACCACCTCACACCCGTCACAGAGGCTACAGTCAACAACCCAAGAAATGACAAGGGTTGGCGAGGACGCGGAGAAAGGGAAACCTTCTCACACAGTTGGCGGGAACGCAAACTGGTGCTGCCACTCCGGAGAATCGTACGGAGGCTCCTCAGAAAATTAAACATAGGCCCTCCATGCAATCCAACAATTCCGCTTCTGAGTATTTGAAGAAAACAAAAACACTAATTTGAAAAAATGCACGCACCACTTTGTTTCTTGCGGCATCACTTACAATAGCCAAATTATGGACGCAATCTAAGATTCCATCTCTAGGAGAATGGATGAAGAAGATGAGGATGTGTAAATAGATAGATAGACAGACAAACAGATATACACACACATACATACCTACAATGAAATATGACTCAGCCTTGAAAGGAATGAAATCTTGCCATTTATGGCAACATGGATGGACCTTTAGGGCATTAGGCCAAGTGGAATAAGTCCATCAGGGAAAGAGAAATACTGTGATCTCACTTACATGTGGAATCTAAAAAACAAATAAGTGGACAAACAAAACAAAACCAGGCTCAAGGATGCAGAGAAAAAGCTGATGGCTGCCAGAGGAGAGGGCGCCAAGGTGAAGGGCATCAAGAGGTACAGACTACCAGTTATAAAATAAAGAAGTGGTGGGGATGTATTGTATGGCTGGGGAGTACAGTCGATAACATTGTATTAACTTTGTATGGTGGCAGACGGTAACTAGACTTAACCGTGATGATTGGTTTGCAATGTACACAAACATTAAATAACTATATTGGACACCTGAAACTAAGATGATATTGTATTTCTTTTTTTTTTTTAATGTTTTATTTATTTCTAGGAGAGAGA